AAGGCGATATATACAGTTTTGTAGAGCGAACTTTGCTCTATCAAATGGTATATTACTCGAAAAGATTATGATAATTTACTTTGGAGATAGTGGCCAAATACTGATATACCAAATTTTACAAGAAAAATAAAAATATTTTTCGAAATCTATTGAGGGTGCATTCAGTGTGTGCTTCATAACTTTTCTAAAGTAAGTCAGAATGAGCTAAAATTTTGGATTTATAGGTTTTTCACCTTGCTCTTTCATTTCCAATCATAAAAGGTAGGGGTCAAAATTTTCGAGAGTATGGCTATTCTCGATGGACTCGTGGACCGTCTCTTAAAAATATAACTTATAAAAGTTTATTATCATTCATGATGTCAATGATATGTTTAAGATTTAATATATCGAAATAAATATAATGAGCATTTTAATCTAATTAAAGGAAAAAGTTTGCTTTTCTTTGACATGATTTAAGTGATAGTAATAGATAAGACATTTGAATAATTCGAAATTTCAAACAATATTTTGAAGTATAAAACTAGTCCGTCTACTGTACTTACATAGAGAAGGACGAGTTTTAATGACATAGATAACAAACAAAAAAATAATACAGAATTTCAGGTAACACGAAACGTAAAGGGACTCATTTAAGTTACATTAGTACAATGACTGAATTATTCGTCTCGAATCTCATTAGTCAAAGTCTGAATTGTGCTATTTGTTCTTGTAATAGTCTCTCTATCAGAAAAAAGTCAAAATTAATTCAAGACTATCATAGTTTTATCATACATTCATTAGATAATTACACCACTATCCATTCTCTTCCTGGGATTTTGTATGATTATCAATGCCTCATTATCTTATCCTTGGTATTCATATTCCATCATTATGACGTACATCAACAGAAGCATTAATTTAAAAAAATAAGTGGCCTACACTTTTCTTTACCAACACAACAATGAATATTAAATGAAATAAACTTAAATGATATTGAAACAACATTTGATACAGTTTATATAAAAAATCTTTTATCGTGTTCTAATAATCAACCACATTTAGTTGCATTAATAGATTCCATATCAATTTATTTTGATACAATACAACATCATGTTGAATTAACATGTATAATTTATATAAATATATTTCAAAAAAACATTTCCTAGTTGGAATCAAGTTGAAAGGATTTTTTCGTTGTTTGACAAAAACCATACATAATTCGACATCAATTATATATGAATTACTTGGCAGGACAGATCAAATAATATCATGTTGTACATTATCAAAAACTATATTATTAATGTTTAAATATCTTTGTCAACGACATAGTGTTATTACAACAAATAAACAAATAAATCAATTATTACTTTTATCATTTAATGATCTTGATCGTATTTATTATTTAACAAGAAAAAGATTAAATATAAACCATATTTTTATCGATATGGTTTACGTCATATAGTTAAATTATTATTTTGTTTACCAATATTTAATTTATTTATTCGTATATGAAGTCAATTTTGAAGTTGGTTGATTATCAAGAATACAATTTCAAGAACTATGAGTTTCATTTTTATTTTCAATTAATTCACTAAACCAATCTAATCATGAAAAGATACAACAACAAATAATTTAACAAAAGAAGAAATTTTAAACATATTGATAGCCAATATATATGCAAACGTTCAATATTAGATACAAGTTCAAATAATTTATTTAAAAATTTTGAAGAATTAAATACAGATAATTTATTATCCTATAGACAAATTTCATATGATACTATATTAATATCAGTTCAAAGTAATAATACAGTACCATTGTCAGTTAATGTAAGTTCATATGTGTTTTAATAATTGAGAAGTAGAACTTGTGTTTTTGTTAATATTAAATATTCAACGTATGTGTAAAAAAAGCAAAGGATTATCGAAACAATTTTAAACTTTCTTAAAGAGAAGTCTAGGTTAAAGGAAAAAAAAATCTAGTATTTTTCTGATTTTGATCTATTTAAAATACAGTACATGTAAACTACCCTATTTCGTATAGATAAAAGATTATATCAATAATTTCAAATACATTCTAATTACTTTTTATATTCTATTAATAAAGTCTAAAATATGAGAAATATTTTATATCAATAAGCAAATTAGACTAGTCCTCACTCTGTATTTTAAAAAAATATATATAATTTAGAGTTTATTCGATCTTTTATTTTCTTGTCATGGTCTCGATTTAACATCATCATTACAAATTCAAATAATATATGTAATATGAATTAATAGGTTCATTTATATATCTTTCTGATTTATTTATATCATCAGAACATTATAAAATTTATATGATTTATGTCATGAATATTTTCGTACATTTAATGATATCATTAATAAGTTATGATTTGTATAAATCTGATATATTACTTAGACAAATAACAAAAGAATACAATGAATTCTATATAAATAAACATGTTAATAAAGAACAAGAAATGATTGATAATATATCAATAATATCATCATCAGATAATATTCTTATTGAACTTGTTGGAGAATTATACCATTGTTACTTGCACATATTGGTTTATCAGATCATTTGATGAATAAAATGATTTTAGCATTTACTGCATCAACACAACAATCATATCCTCAAATAATTGCATATACAGTTTTTGCTATTATTCATACTTTAATTAGTGCACATTTTTTTTCAGCTAAAGTTAATGAATGGACTTTATTATCAATGGCAAGTATTCCACAAAGAAAATGAATACGTATAGCTATATGGGAATTAAATTGTCTTATGTTAAGTGCATACCCATCATATACAATTGCTGATGCATTTGAAATATTTACTTAAACCATTTATCCTTAGTTTCACGTATGGTGAGACTTACATGCACGATTAAAATTTATTTGGCAACGGTAAATAGTAACACATCAATACAAAAAAAATCTTTGTTATAATCTGAAAGTTGTAAATCACAAAATCGATAAATCCCGCCAAACTTGGCTTTTTTCTCAGAGAACTCTAAAGAGAATGTTAAAATGAGTTTGCAAAGATAATGCGGTATATCTTTTACATTTTTTAGGTTGTCGTTGACCTGATCACGTTTCAGTGCTCGTGTTGAAAAATTAAACGATCGTTTATTCCTTCTTGCTGGTCGAGAATATTATTTGCAGATACTATAAAAGAGACAAGAAAGTTTGGAAATATTAATCGTATCAAATAAAAAAAAATCTGTTTTACTTATTTTAGTTAATGAATATTGAACAACAAGTCAATTTGAATAAGTATTCACAAATAAATTGAATACAGAAAAATTACAAGCTGATATACTTGCAGATATTTAAGATACGATCTTATCATCATCTTGATCCTTCCTAATATTTGCTTATCCTACCTGAACCTGGATTCGATGATTTCTAAATTTCTAAAATAATCAGTATTTATCAGACATCAAATCATTTTTTGTCTCATTGATAGAACATTTCCTGTTAGATGTCTTTGCATGTGTGTGTACATATCTTTTTTTTCGATTAGTAAATCAAAAATTATTGCACATGATGTATGCTAATACATTATTTCCTTTTCTTCTTTGTTTGTTGTTGCTGTTGCTGTTGTTATTCACAAATATTGTAAAATCCTTTCTAGTTTTATAGTGAGTGCAAGTCAACTAAACGAATAATTGTGTTCAAGAAAGAAGAATTGGTGTAGCGATAGACCATGACACTTAATTGTCTTCTAGATTCGTGTTATCTTTCAATCTAGCAAAACTTGAAGTCAATCAAATGCTTCATTCTTAAGAAATAAGGGTGTGGGTGTGCGTGTGTGAGTGTGGGTGTGGGTGTGGGTGGGTGTGGGTGGGTGTGGGTGTAGGTGTGGGTGTGGGTGGGTGTGGGTGGGTATGGATGGGTGTGGGTATGGATGGATAAAAGAGCAAGGCCTACACCCACACCCACACCCACACCCACACCCACTATTTGGCGAACATTGATCGTATTGAGCCATACCGTGGCATAATTGAGACTAGACTCGAATTATCAATATACTAAATTAAAAACAGAACAAAAGATACAAATGAAATCAAATCTTCCAAGCTTCAAAGAAAGACTTGTCGAAGTTACATGAATAGAAAAATTATAAATCTTACAATTATTTACTTAGAATAAATAGAAAGCAGGAGACCGTTTTTACAAACCATCGTTTGAATTGGAATGAAATACAATGATGACAAGAATTGTTTTTATATCTATAGTGAGCAGGCAACCTTTTTTTACATTCGTCCATAATGAAAAATACGACTTAATCCTTGAATT